TGGTGGCCCTGGCTGGCCCGAACCCCACAGAGACCCCCCTGCCTTTCCCCCCCCCCCCCCACCCAGTGCTAGGATTAAAGGCGTGCACCACCAACACCCAGCTATAATTGTTTCTTTTTTATTGTTGTTGTTGTTATTTGTTTTTTTTCGAAGAGACAGGGTTTCTTTGTATTGCTTTGGAGCCTGTCCTGAAACTTGCTCTGTAGACCAGGCTGACTTCAAACTCACAGACATTTGCCTGCTTCTGCCTCCCAAGTGCTGGGATCAAAGGTGTGCGCCACTACCGTACCACCTGGCCTGGGAATTCTTACATGGAGAGCTACTAGACAGAGAAGGGCTGCAGGGGGCTGTGGATGCAAATTGGTACATAGAACCCTTGACTAGTGTGCACAGGAGTCTGGATTCAGTCTCCTGTGCTGGGGGAAAGGAAGGAAGAGCAGGGACCTTGTTTTCCTGGCATCAGAATGGTCCTTCAGATGTCACTGGGGAGGAAGCTGTGTGGAAGCCCTTTGCCAAGAGGGTTTTCTTGTGAGGACCAGGTTATGATTTCAGCTCACATTACACAGATCAGTTGCCTCTGGAGTCTGAAGGTGTCTCAGAAATGAGTATGGATGTTCTCTGTCAAGACGTTGAGAAGTGAGTTGAAGGTCTTAGATACGGAAATAGTTACTGTGGCCTTTTCTGGCTGCAAAGAAGGTGAACATAGAGGCTTGTCTTTTGTTGATACTCATTGCATTCACATCACCTACAGCAAGCAGTATAGATGAGGATGCCTAGTGCAGCCATGGAAGACTCAACTTACAACTTTGTGTCTCGAAAATCCAATGGCTCCAGGAGCTGTTGAATCTGACCTGCCAAGGAGGCGAGTTGGGTGGTCTCAGGACAGAGGTCCCTGGTTTGGCATTGTGCCTTCAGTCTGTCTAGCCAGTTGTCAGGGTTCTTTACTTACTTTGTCTTAAACTAGAATAACACGTGGACGCAGCTTTTTGATACATTCTACAGATACTGCATGGTGGCTTTTTCCTTCATGAGACTATGTGTTGTTGTAGATGCCCCTGAGACTCCGTGTTTTCCTCAGTCTGTCTGTCATTTTTCATCTTCTCAGATCAGTGATGCATGTCCATCTCTGTATGTGACCAGAAGGGCTGATTTCTTTTTGAAGAATTATTGTGTGTGTGTGTGTGTGTGTGTGTGTGTGTGTGTGTGTGTGTGTGTGTCTGTCCACATGGGGGTATGTGCACATGAGTGCAGTTGCCCATTGAGGCCAGAAGAAGGTACCGATCCCCTAGAATGGAGTTATAGGTGGTTGTGAACTGCCTGTTGTGGGTGTTGGGGACCTAACTCAGGTCTTCTGCAAGAGCAGTACAAGCTGTTAACCTCAGAGCCAGCATTC